TTGATCTCTCTATCCCATAATCAAATTTTGTAGAATCAACCATCTCTTGATTGATCTTGCCCCTAATCATTTTTCATGGATGTCGAACATTGCAACTTTCTTGCTTTCACATTATCTCAAAGTATTCCAATAAAAGTGTGTTCATTCTCATCGGAGAATGACATTAGTTCCTTAGGCTTACATTTGTGACCACCCATGCTTTCTAATGAAGACAATTACACACATAAATAAAATTCTGGATAAATAAGTTAATCCTAGGAGGTCAAAAAAGTTCCACACTAGCTCACCCAATGTAATAATCCCTTGGCAGATAGAAGTCCTTTATTGGACCAAATTGTTTAAATGGCCTCTTTAAAGCATCTGCATTACTCACAACATATCAAATGATCAGACAGAAACTCAAGCAGAGGTAACTCGCTATAAGCAAAAGTACGAACAGCAGGAAATAAACTCAAATCACCAACACAGCCTTAAAATTGACACTAAATATTCAACCCTACTCAATCAAGTAGTACGCAAGTTATGACTTCAGACAATATTTCATAAAGAAAACTAACTGCTAGCATATTATGATTCAAAATTTTACTACCCTTCCAATCATACAATTGACATTTCACTCTGTAAAGTTTTAATAATGTGATCATTAGAAAGAACTCATGTTTTACTTGCAAATGGAGCATTGAATTTTTGAATTGCTAAAATAAATCATACAACTTGAACATGGAAGCAAAAAACTTAATTTCACCAGAAAGGTTAACAGTAAATATGACTCCTTAACCAGTTAGAGATGTATACAGAAACACCTTAGAATCTAAATATAACCACACCATATTTACCTTATCACCCATGTATTCTACTCAAATGTATCCTTTTTTTCATCAGTTTTGACCCAATCAAAGTTTTCTTGCTCTCACTAAATCAAAATCCTCACTCTTACAAGAAAGTTTCGGCCACCCAAATGCTTCAACAAAAATTTCAAACCTATCCAAAACTTGAAAGACAGATTGGTCAGAGTATGGTAAAAAATTTAAGAGGAAATTATCAAAATAGTCAACTTTTGGTGTTGTATTTACAAAAATGTCACTTTTTTTTTACATTACAAGAATGTCAAATTTAGACAATTTTAAACATATTTACCCTTAAAACCAAATTTAAATATCCTATAGGTCCTAATTAAATGAGATTAGACCAATCAAAGAAATTGTACAAAATTTTCAAAGAGTGTTTGACAAAATTGAATTATTGAAGAAAAAAGCAGAGCAACACGCACCAATCCCCCAAGTCGAAGAAACCTAAATCGCTCGCTCACTCTCTCATTTCTCTCAATGAAGTGAACGAATCTGAAGAAGAATTCCACTGAATATCGGAAAATTGCCAGCAATAGTTTAGCCATTGTATCTAAACTACTCAGAATGAGGAAATTAAAACCGGTAGAGCAAAATCCACCCAAGGTCCCAAACTCCATTTGAAACCGGCTAAAAAGTGCAAACAGTAAACCCTTAAATTTCCATATTCCAATGTCGAGCAGAAGTAGCAGCTCAGCTGGACGACCGGGGGCGGTGGCGTTTGTGGACTGTGCATCGCTTCAGTATTCAATCTCACACAGTTTAGGTCTTCTTGTTTATTAATTCAAAGCAATTTTGTGAGCCTTTTTTCGAATATCTTTTGTAATGCTTGTGGGTTATTGTTTTTAAATTAGAAAGAAATGGTTGATAATGTGAAATTGTTGTTGTCTGTGAAAATATATTAAAATATAATTTTTGTTAACTCTTCTGAATATATTATCCCATATTCGGCAGTTGTTGAAAAGATTATGTTTCCTTTTTTCAGAAAAATTATATTATTTTAGTTAATTCAACCGTAAGGCATCCAAGATCGGGCTTGGGATTCACCAGACCTCGCAGAAACTATCTAAGCTTGCGAATTGTAAGGCAAGAACTGACATCTTGGTTTATTTTTACCATGTGTTTTGGTGATTGGTTTTCTTCTTGTTCTTCTGTGCTGAAAATGAATGCAGTTTGATCAAATGCTTTGTCTTCCCCTTGAATGACCTGAAATAATGGTAAAATGGATTTAAGTTATCTTTGCATCAGACGAATTTGATGTTTTCCAATGAGGTCCCATATTACTTGATCCTTGCTATAAATCTGTAATTGCTATAAGATGAATCTTATTCAATTTTCAATGAGCTCTTGGTCCTTGATACCTTCTTCCTCTTATTTTGTTTTATTTTTTTAAATTTTTTTGGTGAAGTCCATTCTAGATAAGGTAATGTTCTTTAGGCCTCTTACCTTAACAAAATGGGGAGTTGGCTTTGCCCCATCGCGTAGTATATTGATTGGCTAAAATTTTACAAAGGAGTTGGACTTCAATGAACCTTGCCTTCTTGGAAATATAACAAAATTTAAGGAAAGAAACTAGTCTATACTTGAGTTATGTTTGCAGGTAAGAGAATAAAGGAATAAGAAACTAAGGCCACTTACATCCTTATGCTTGGGAAACCACATTTATCTATTCTAAGCAATACATTAATCTCAATAGTTAACTCTTGTTATTGAAAGCTTGAACTTTATATATTTATATCCCCGTATTAGCTAAATGGTAGGCAAATGTACTGCCTTCTCGCCAAATATGGAAAAACTAAATGTTGAGCCTACTCTCCCAGTGGTGAATTTCTTCTAAATAGTATTGCACTTTCTGAGGTTCATCTATGCCTTCCTTTTATTTATTTATTTATTTATTTATTTTACATTGGAAAAGTGAATCAATCTCTACCCATATTTGGGCCGTATCCAAATTGATCGCATAGCTTAAGAAGAACATGAGCCATAGAAGTCATAACATGCAAGGAGAACCTTACCTACATGATTCTTATCACACCCCCACCTGCAGCTAGATTTGAGTTCCCTTTGAGGCATTCATTAGAGTTTAGTTTGACAACATGAACAGAAGGTTAATGACTAAAATTAATTGAATTTGATGAGTCTCATGGCTGTCTGAGAGGAGTCTACTTGGTGTAGAGGCCATCCCGTGCTTTCTTTTGAGGACATGTTCAATTGTTTCTTGATACTTACTTTTAAATATAACTAGTGCAAATTTTGCCTCTTGCTTTGGTTTTATGCCATAAGTGGTAATGCAATTGTGCACAAATATACATGTTGTATGGGGCTGATTGCATAAGTTGCATGGTAGCATAGGTCAAAATCCCAATACAAAAGATATCCCTACTTTGATGCTAATGCAAGAAACAACTTCTATATAATTCATGTCTTGTCAAGATTTAAAAATTATGAATTGTAAAGATTTAAATATTTGAGAGTTTATCTGAAGAATGAGCTTCCTAGTACGCTGCATCATGCGGCTAGTGATCAAATTCTGCTAGTTAAGACTTATAAGTCCAAGGAAGGTTGAAGGTGGAACTGAAAAGATGCATTGTTCTCAATGAGGACCATTTTTACTGTTTGTTGAAAGAAGGTCACGTCTTTTGAGATTGTTGAGATTTAGAACTTAGTTATGAAAATCCTGAACATGCAAGGAGCTGGTCATGATGGAATATTATCATTTCCACTTGCTGTTCTTCTGCCCGTCATTAAACTCATTTAGGTAATGAAATGCAGTAGTACTGCATGAGAATACCAAATTGAATTAGATATACGCGAAACCGTAAACATTTAGTATATTTTCTCTTTATAACTGCTTAAGCATCAATTAGTTGGGTCATGATGTCAATTTCTAGTTTCTTGATTTCAGTATTCTTCATGTGTGAATATGAACTTTCTCTTCATACATATGTCGTGAACTTGATATCATTGCTTCACATTTTAGCATTCAGCACTGTGGTCTCTATCAAAACCATGAATTCTTTAGGTGTAACTTATAGGAATCAATATTCTGTGGGCTGATTTGGAAAAGGGATTTGACCATTACAAATTAGCTTTAATATTACTTTTGCTTATATTTGATATACACTTTCAGTTTATAATGCGTAATAATTAAAATATTTGGAGATTGGTATTCAAGAAATGTGGCATTTTCAATATATGCTCCTCTTCAATACGTTTTTTATGCACAACATTTCTTTCTGTTGTTGCAAAACTAAACTTTGTGGAGTGTGGACGAAGAAAAGAGACGTATCTGTCCATAGCTCTTTGCAACTGCTACAACTAGACGAGATGAAAGCACTTTCTTCTCTCTTGTTATTGTGATGTACGAATATGTATTGAATTTATCTCGCACAAGATATTCACAAACCAACTTGCTGCTTTGCATATCTCTTAGATTGCTCGGTTCACAGTTGCATCATTTGGTGCTTTCGATGTAGTTATGAAAGGGAAACTAGTCTTGTTTGCTTGTTTTCTACTGTAACAGTCATTTTTTACTTGGTTGCTTCATTGTGTTTACATTCGTACTTTGCATGGCTGGCTATGAAATGATTTTCTAGAATTAATAACCACGTTTTCACCTTCATTGTCATTTTTGGGATGACCGAATTTGGGCATGTTCTACATTTTAATATAGGACACCATGCATATGTAACATCTAAGTTTTAAAGCGTTTTGTAAATTTTCGGGAGCCTGGTTTTTCGCTGTTATGTAGCAAGTTTGTGGGTTGGGGCACCATGCATACATATGCCATATTTATGTTAAAAACTGTCGTTCCCGACATTTACCTCCTGTTATTCTCAACAGTTGGCTGAACCCTAACAGATGAACTGTCATTCCCGACAGTTAGCTGCGGGCATTCTCGACAGATGATGTATGCCACTGTAAGGCAGAGTGCATTCATCTGTCAATACAGGTTTCGGTGACAGTGTCTCAATAAATGACATTGGGCACAGACGACATTGCACGTGCGTCGAGAAACAACATGTCTGTCAAACATTCAAATGTCATTACCGCATGTATTTTTGCACATTACAAAATTTTTTTGCTAACATTTTATTTTGTTTAATATTGCAAGCACAATTCGCCATAATAAATGTTTACTGCAACTTTGGGTAGATGATATATTCTTATACGTTTCTCGTATTACTTGTTCCAATTGATGTGGTTGTATGCTCCGCGGAAGTACGCTTGTAATTTGTAATATTCAGCTGCTGTTAAATTATGGTTTAACCATTATCGTTTCATCTGCAGATATTATGAAAATTCAATTTCTAGCCCGAGAATGTACGATTGCTGGCGCGTATCTCGCAACGAAGCAACTTGAAGTACATAAAAACAGTGATGGATAACTTCAACGACCGACTTCGAGCTGACTTTTGCGACTCCTGCCTTGGGTTTCTCGCTGACGTTCCGGAGATCCAGTTTTTCGCTCAGCTGATCCAGGCATTGGTATACCGAGGGATCCATTGCGATAAGTCCCATGAGTTGTGGTTCAACGTGCAGGGCCACCTTACCCGGTTTGGATTGCAGGAGTATGCTATCGTCACTGGATTGCATGCTAGGTTGTTTTCGGAGGGTGATCGGTACACAAAGGCATTGGAGAAGAAGAGGCTGAAGGAAAAATATTTCAAATCGCTAGAGAAGATTTCATGTGCCCAGTTGGAGAAGGCCTTTCTCCACGCGTCGACACCCCGGGCAGATAGATACAAGCTCGGGCTTGCTCTAATTGTGGAAGGAGTTATCACTACTCCGAACAACAATGTCGGCATTGATGAGGATACGCTTGCCATCGTGGACGACCTGGAGCTGTTTTTTGCGTACCCCTGGGCGAAAGTGGGTTATAGGCGTTTGTTGAAGGGATTCCGGGGTACTTGGGCACGTAAAATGAGCGATGCGAAGATGAAGAACGAGAAGGACGTCAGTTACACAATTCACGGATTTCTGATCGTCATGCAGGTATGAACAACATTATGTTTATGTGTTTTGTTTGTCAGTATTAGACCATGCCTCCATAGTGTTTGGACAGATATTAATGCGACATTTGTTTTGTTATCGTCCAGACAGATTTGGGCATATGAGGCCATGCCCGAACTCGGCAAACGCTTTGGTGGGCGTGTAGGTGAACGCTCACCCCGGCTTCTGTGCTGGACCTCTACCAAACAACCACAGCAGTGTACATACGATGTGTTCTTCAGGGACGTACAGGTCATGGACATTTTTCATTTGCCTTTCCATTATTTTGTTTAATTGGGAATAGTATGCATTATATTTTAACTACATGTTCTGCCTTGTTTCTACACCTGCAGTGCACGCCACATTGTGTCCCACGGAGGCCGAGTGTAATCTGCCATATATCGCCAGTGTGGTGCCGTTCCCGACCGTCCAGTGCAATTTTTGGACGACCTCGCTAGGAGGGTTGTCGGCCCACAGTTCCATGAGGCGGCACCAGCTAGTGGGAGAGATGACGGTAGCGATGCGGGTGACGGGCATGACGACGAGTCCGGTGCAGGGGCCGAGGACGTTGACACATCCGTGAGCGATGGCCATCATACACCGGAGGGCAACGGGAAGAATGGGTCTAAGTCTGATGACAGTGGAGAAAGCGGTTGCGACCCCTCCAGCGAGACCAGTGGTAGTGACAACGAGAATGAAGTGGATGCCTCGGGACAGCAATCGGGTGCATTACCCACTCCAGTGGTTGCCCCGTCCACATCTGGGGTTCAGGGTACGCGTGGTGGAGCGACTTTGACGAGGGAGGACGTGGAGGGCATTTTGTATGACTAGAGCATCCTCTTCGAGAATAGGTTGCGGACCGTGAAACTTGAAATCTGATTCCATGACTATGTGGCGTTGTTCACATAGAACCGTTTCACTAAAGTGCTGAAATGTTTTATATTGGTGCTGACACAGAGTTGTCGGCACAAGTGACCGTACCGAAGAAGGGAGGCAATGTAGGCAGCACAAATAGGCGGCGATCGACTTGTGTTCGACGTCTTGCACCACCTACTCGGACGCCCTACATGAGGAAAAGGGCAAAGAGAGTAAAGAAATGAGTGAGTTCAAGTGGTTTGGTAAGGTGTGATGTAGTAGTAGATATGTTGTTGGTAACAAAGACATGCTTTGAAGTTGGTTTGATTTATGGACGGATACGTTTGCTCACCCATATGCTACACATTAAATTGTTTTATGTACAGTACATAAATGTTTAGTGCAAGCATGGGATGGTATTGTCGGTACGTTTTGTGTATATGCTTTGACGACATAATGCATTTACTGTTCCTGAAATATGCTACACGTTAAACTGTCTTTTGTAGAGTACATATCGTTTTGCTATAATACATGTTTAGTGCAAGCATGGGATGGTAGTGTTGGTAAATTTTGTGTGTATGCGTTGACGACATAATGCATGTCTTGTTCATGAAATGTGAAAGGGTACATCAACATCATAACTAAAATGAATATATCATCATTCTTATACATCCCAGTCATATGACTTGTCAACACGAACTGACGATTTTTCCTGTTAGAGTCCTCACAAAAATCTACATGCCTACCCGCAACCTCAGCACGAAGGACAGAGTTGACTCCTGATCTGGTGGGATTCCTTCCTTATCCTGAATTGTAGCTTTAACATTATCGCACGTGTCAGAGCTTTCACCTTCACGGGTTATTGTCTTCCCAGTAAGGGTTTTGACGATAATCTGCCTGCAACCACCAAGCCTCGACACGAAGTGAAATGTGGACTCCTTATGAATTTTACGGATGCCTGAACTACGGCCATCCGAAGCTGTTAACTAGCGAACATGAGCCTCTGTGTTGGTCTGGTGCAATGCCTTCGTTGTCTTGTATGTTGACTTCACCATTATATTTATGGCCTGTATTGTTTATGATTCTATCATAAACAATACATGCCATAAATATAATGATCATTAGATTGCCTACACGTTTTCTACTCCATGGGCGAGTACATTTTCTAGTTCTTACGTTGATTGGATGGATAGTTACGAACTTTCTCTGCTCTGTCATTTCACTTTAGTGGACACTTGATGTAGGTAGGCAGCTGATTAATTCGGAGGGCTGATTTTTCAGTTGAGCATGTGCTTTCATCGAGGTGTGATGACGAATTTTTGTACAATGATGAAGAGGTGTAGTTAATAACACCAAATAACAGCCAAAGGGATCCAAACCTGGGTTCATGCCTAAAGGTGCAACTATGGAGACGATTACATCGTATCACATATGATGTAATTGTTGATGATGTCAAGGGGGTTTATGAGATTACTTCAATTCCATATAGGGATATGGTTAAGTGGAATGCAAATTGAGACATGACATTTGTTTGTACTGTAATTAATTTGATGTTCATCGTACTTGATGAAGTAGTAGTATTCTGTAATTTCATTTCATTGGAGTTGAAGGTGTTATACCTGCACAAATGAGTCATGGTATGAAATGATCTTGTGTGTAATGGAGTACGGTTGAACGATCGAGGACAATGATTATTGTAAAATTCGCATTACTGTAGAATAAAAAATTCGGTGTTATCTTAGCTACGTTGGCCCTAACATTACAACCGATGTATATTTATTTCAACATGAGTTTGAGTATAAATTCGCTTGTTCGTAGAAATTAAAGTTTATTTTAAAAATGGCTTGTAAAGTCATCCAATGTTCATCTTCATTGGCAGGGACATTAATTTTATCAATTTTTCATGCAATTCATATGATTTAGAATTAAAAAATGGTATTCAATTGTGACTAATGAATACATAAATTCTATTAAGTAATGTAAGTACAAATTCATTACAGGAATGTTGCCATTGCAGGTATTGCACATGGGTACAATTTATTCATAATTCTCACCATTTATGGACTGCATTAAAGTACACTTACACCCTTAACCATCACACTAATGGTCAATCAAGTGTTAAGTAAAAATGAAATGGTGGTTGGTTGGTAAATTGCTTTAAATGTTCTCATATACCTCCAGTATAAAGCAAGGTTTGCACTCTTCAAGTGGAATATATGAAACTCTTTCTGAGGCATCTTATAGCAGGAACGTGTCAAAGTATTTGAAGTCAGTTTCTTCGTACGAAAATAATGGCATCGTCCACGGGAAGCAATTCACCGCTGGCACTTCAGGAGCCAATGCCGACACCCGGTTCAACCCCGCTATGTCCCATCGTAATTTCTTCGGACGATGAGGAAGTGAGTTCGAATGGTGGTAGGAGAGCCATCACTGTCGTTCCCTTTCTGAACCTGGACGAAGTTGCAAGTGATGAAGGTGAGTCTCCGAGAAATGTGCTTGAATGGGTCGTCCCATTTATGGATGCAGACGAAGATCAACGTTACGAGGATGAGGGGCAAGGACGTTTTCCATCGCCTGAGGTAATTGTCATTAACTCGGATGATGACGGTGGGGAAGAAGGTTCAAGTGTTAGCTCCGAGTGAAGAGTCCGGCTTTGCTTTGTTACGTGTGTGGGTTTCTACGTATGTATGTATAGTGGTTTTTTGTAACGGATGGATTTTGTGACGCTTAACCAATTCTGTAGCAAGTAGGAAACTCCCGTTGGCAAGTTATGTGTTTTTTGTATTTTGTTAAGCGGAGCGTCACACAACTGTCGAGAATGGCAGGCACCATCTGTTGGGAATGACAGATGAACTGTTAGGGTTTACTGACAAATTTTCTGCGTATGTAGTATGCATATTCATATAACATGTAGTTTGGGTGAACGAACACAACCTAATGTGTACATTGAATGTAGTTTGTGAACTTTGCGAACAGTGTTATGCACTACAAATGATATGTTCGTAATATGTATTTCAAGGGAAACTTGTATAATGGTTGAACTTTTCATATTCCATACATTCTATTTACATGTGTCAACAATCGTAACAATGTTATACACAACAAATTTGTATTTTAGTTCAAGACAGTTATGCAGTGCGTTGTGCCTATTTGCGTTCTATAAATGTTAACATAACAAAGGGTAATGTTTACGCGTAAGAGAATGAAAACATTAATAGAATATTTACATTTTCATATACAAACAACATCGGGGGAACACTTCACTTACAACTTCAACCACTCACGTACAAAATGCTGCTTACATCAGACGTGGTACAGTGTGGTTCGAACATGTGGTCCGGTTATGACCAAGTCTACAGCAGCGAGTGCATTTCCTAAGCCATGAGGTGTGCTCGTGTCTGGATCGCTTACGTCGTATGGGTGGTCTACTTGGAGGACGACGCACACTAGGGAGCATAATAGGAGTACCTGTAATTTCAGGTGGAACATTCCAGTTCACCTCACGCTGAATAGGATATATAGCTTCTCCATAGGCACCCTTCCAGTACTCGGATGTGTAATACAATGAGCAGAGATCGTACAATGACGTACCTCTCAAGGAGTACGGGTTGCATGAACGCACACCATACGATTCAGCTGGAACTCACGACAAGTGCACGTCTTTTCAGAGAAGTCTACGATATCCGTGTCGTTGGATATTCCAACTTGTGTTAAGTTATTTGTCAAGCCATGCGCTCGCAGCCTAGTACCTGCTTCGAATGTCATCCGTAACTCATTCTATATTGTTGGTAACAGAACGGTACTGCATGCGGTTGCACTTGCTCGACGTTCATAAAATCACTTCTGCATAGTATGCCGAATGTGTTCCACTAAGCACGTGATCGATAACGAACGGGCATGTCTCAACATTGAGTTCAAAGATTCTGCGTTGTTGTTCGTCAAAATGTTGTACCGTTGGCCAACAAATAGTGCACACGACCAAAATGGGAAACATGCTCGCTCCAAGTACATGTACGCTCTTGCACTAACCCTACGAAGCTTCCCATAAGTCTTTCAAACTCTTCGGTCCGGTAAGTTCTTGCGGCTCTTTTGAATAGAAATATTGAACTTGCGTTGTTGTACAGCTGGAATAAATTCCTTTCCATATGCCAAACACAGCACCCGTGGTGAGCCCGAGGAAATAGGTGAGCAATGGCATTTTCAATACTATTTTTCCTATCGGAAACAAACATCAATTCATCCGAGTCACGTATAAGATCTTTCAAATTTGATGAAAGTCACATCCACGATCTATTTGTTTTGGCATCAACAATCCCCCAAGCTAACGGATAAATCTGTTTGTTGGCATTTTGGGCAGTTGCCAGTAGAAGGGTACCTTCATACGGACATTTCAAGTGACTGCCGTCAACACAAATAACGGGCCTCATGTAGTGCAAGTAACCCCGAATGCTTGCACCGAAAGTTAGGAAAAAGTAGTGAAACTTGTTACGATAATCTACTTCGATGTGCGTTACTGTCCCCGGGTTACTTTCTCCTGGGACGTGACAGTACGAAGAAAATTTTTGAAAGCTATCACCCGATGTACCATGTAGCAAATGTAAAGCAGCGACATTTTCCCTACGTGCTTGATGGTAACTAATTTTCACACCAAACTCACGTTCCATGTCACGAGCAATAGCGGTAGAATCATACAATCCGTACGTATTATCCAATTTTTCCATAATCTGCTCAACAATTACGAAACTAGTGGCATGTCGATGTGCATTACGACGATAATCTATGGTATATGTGTGCACATTGTTGAATTTGCGGATCATGAAGATGGCGGACTACTTCACACTCGAAGCACATAACATCCACTTACAATTATCATCGGCACATACAACAGTAAACATTTTTTGGCTTGACTTGCTAACCTGAAATTGAAACTTCTCTCACAACGCAAGTAGACGAATTCTCAAGTACAACTCTTTCTT